TGCCATGGCCCGAAGGAGGGAGAAACACACTTCTTCACCAGCTCCAGCCAGAAGGCTCCCAGAAGACGATGCCCAGCACTGAGCTCATCTGTGTGGCAGTGTCAGGGCTGTTGCTGACCAGTGGTCAGGGCATAGGCGGGAGCACACTGAGCGGACCAGGGCGACCCAGAAACTAGGTCAGGGCTAACCTTCCCAGCCCACAGTCCCATCAGGCCACCAACAATTAAGTAACTCAGAGACTCGGGTCTCAGTCTAGACTGGGTGATTGCCCTGAGGGTTCAAGATGGGAAGCCTTCAGGCCATGCTGGCCAGAGCTGGGTAACCCAACTGCCTGCAGGCTCAGGAAACAGTGCCATGGATTCCAAAGACCCTCCCAGATCCAGTCAGGGCTCAGCCCCACGAAGAACTGAGGCAGGAGGCCAGGTGGAAAGCAGGGTGAATGCTGCCGTCAGGGTAGCCGCAGCCGAGTGACCCCAGACACGACCTCCCAGCAGGTGCCAAGCTGCATGGGACCACTGGTACAGCGGGCGGAACTCAGGCTGCAGCCCGGGGCACTGGGGGTGGCAGGCTTCTGATAACAGGAATTTCAAAGAAACCTAGGAAGTCGTTCCCACCACAAAGAAATGTACTGTCTCCTTGGAGGTAACTGGCATCTATGAAACAAGGTAACAAGAAAAGGTTACATGCAACTGTCTCTAAGTAAGATGGGAGGCGAAAGCAGCAGCAGGAAGCTCCCGGGAGGCATGTCCTGAGCTGAGCCTTCGAAACAGGCTGGCACGGGAAAGGCGTACAGCAGGAGGGGGTGTCACAGTTGTGGAGGCGGGGAGGGGTGGGCATATGGGGTGCTGTGCAGAGTCCCTGAGCAGGAGGAGACCAGGACTGGGAACACCCACCCATCCAGGGCTGCTCTGTGCCCAGCAGGCCTGTGCAGGGCACCCCACACGAGCTTCACAAGCCCCGCTCCACAGGGGGGCAGAGAACTTGAGGGTCCGCATCCTGCCAGGGTCCTACAGCCACCAAGGAGCAGGGTTCGAACTTGAGTGCAGGCTGTCAGCGTTCATCCCCAAACTCACTCTGAGCTGGTCCAGGAGTGAGTCGAGGGCACGGTGAGGAGATGGGGAGGAAAGCCTGAGGGTGGGTGCTGGCGTCGGACAAGAGCCCCTGGATGAGGACTTCTAAGAACCACGCCATGTTTCTGAGCAGAGGGACACGCAGCACACGAGCAGATGGGAGGGGAGCAGACAGGGGACAGCAGTCAGCTGAGAAGCCCATTTGGTCATCGAGGTATAAGGTGCCACGGGAGGGCGGAACGACACAACACCTTTCATTCTTTTTTTTTTTTTTTTGGTAAAAAGACCAAAGATAAGTTCGCCCTCTTCAGTGTTTAAGTGTGTAGTACAGTATCAGTAACCATCCACACGGCTGTACCTCCAAACCTTGTTGGTCTTGGGTGACTGAAACACTGTACCCTCTGGACGTTTCTCCCTTCCCCAGCCCCTGGCAACCACCAGTCTTCTTAGTTTCATTACTTTAGATACCACATACAAGTTGAATCACATAGTATTTGTCTTTTAGTGACTGGCTTGTTTCACGAAGCATCATGTCCTCAAGGTTCATCCATGCCGTAGGCTGTGTCAGGATTTCCTTCCTTTCTAAGGCTGAGTCGTATTTCATTGTATGTAGAGAGCACGTTTCCCTGGTCCGGGCATCCGCGGATGGACACTCAGGTTGCCTCCTTGTCTTGGCCATTGTGGACAATGCTACAATGGACATGGGGGTGCAAATATGCACGATCCGGTTGTCAGTTCTTTTGGATCAATACCCAGAAATGACGGACGATCTTTCATTCTTACTACAAGTCTTTCAAACAACAGTTTCAACAGAGAGCACCTCTGAGGCAGCAGCCCTCCCTGAGTGTCACCCTCAGTACGTGGCAGGGTGACCTCTCCCAGGACCTCTGGGTTGGACTCATCCTCTGATGTCATTTTCTTCCAGCTTTAAAAACTTTCTGTCTTGTAAAGAAGGTCAAACAATGAAATCTCTCGGTCTTTGTTGATCCAGGAATATACTTTGCCTTCTCTTTTGAAGAATAGTTAAGTGGACATGGGATTCTTGGCAGACAGTCTCCTTTCAGAGCTTTGAGTGTTTATGGCCACTGTTTCTGATGAGCAGTGAGCTGTTAGTCTTGGTGTGGTTCCCTCGTGCATGTTTTTCTCACTGATTTCAACATGTTCTCTTTGCGTTAAGTTTTAACAGTTTGATGACGAGTCTAGATGTGGATCTCTTTTGTGTTTATCCTACTAGGAGTACATGATACTTCGATGTACAGACTGTTTTCCATCAAAGTTAGTAAGTTTTCAGATGTTATTTCGTCAAATATTTTTTCTGTTCCTTTCTCTCATATTTCCTTTACAAACGGACTCTTATTATGCCAATGTTGGTATGTCCCACAGGTCTCTGAACTTTGATCATTATTCTTTATTCTTTTTACTTCTGTTCTTGAGACTAGATAACCCCTATCTAGCTTTAAGTTTGCTGATTTTTCCTACTGCCAGCTCAAATCTGTTGTTAAACCTGACCAGTGAAATCCATTAATTTATACTTTAATATTTTCTTCCTTATACTTTACTTGGGTTGCTTCCATTTTTTTGTAAGTTCTTATGGTAGACGTTTATCTCATTCATTTTCTGCTTTAATATACACATTCAAATAAACTTTCTATTACATACCGACGTAGATACATTTCACCATTTTATATGTAACATTTTTATTATTCAGTTCTAAATACCTGATTTCTATTATGATTTCTTTTACTCATGGGTTAATTTCTACATGTGGGACTTTACCAATTCCTTTTTTATTACTAATTTCCATCTTCACTGTTACTGTGGTCAAAGAAGATATTCCATATGATTCTGATCATCTGAAATTTGTTGACTTTATAGCCTGGAAAATGGTCATTTTTGTAAATATTCCATGTGTGCTTGAAACAAATATGGTTGGAGTGTTCTATGCACCCAGTAGGGCAAATCAGCTGTGTTTTACAAATCATTCATAGCTTTATTGAGGCTTTGGTCTTTTTTATCAAGTATTGAGAATAGTGTGCTACAATCTCCATGATCATGGGGAATTTGTGAATTTCTTCTTATACTGTTTTCAGTTGTTTTATTTTGATACTATATTAGACAGTGAAAATACAAGTTTAGACGCGTTGTATCCATCTGGCGAACTGATGGTAATCTGCCTGGTACGCTTTTCCTTTTACATTTTGTACTCTTGTTTTAGGTGGTTCTCTTTTAAACAACATATAACTGGATGATTGTTTTAATCTAGTCTGACATTGCTGTCTTTTAACTGGGTCATTTAGTCTATTTACAGTTATCTTAACTGCACATATATTTGGATTTATTGCATCCATTTTATCTTTTGTTTCATTTTCTCCTTCTTGCTATCTTTTGAATTATTTTCACATTCCATTTTATCCTGTATTCATGTTATAGGTGTATGTTCTATTTCTATTATCTCTGTGTCACCCTGGGAATTTTAACTTGCACACTATGAGTCTGAAATTACCCCTTAGTTTTGCTGTCCTCCTGAGACCTGGGCCTCACAATGCCGTAACTCTGCCTATTCCCCTCCCAGGTCATGTGCTACTATTCTGCTCTTGGTGTCTAATGCTATCACCGCAGTTTTCTGTGTGTTTTGTTTCATGAAGCCGATGTTTATTTAGACTTATCTACATTCAATACTCTCTCTGATCATCGTTTTACTTGCATCTCATACTCTCCATCTAAGATCACACTCCTGAAGATATCTTTAGAATCCTCTACTGGGAAGGTCTATTGGTGACAGAGTCAGTTTTTGTCTGAAATGTCTTTATTTCATCCTTGTTATTGGGAAATATTGGGTCTTCAGAAAAGTCATGACACATGTTTGCAACAGATGGCACTAGTTCATTTTTGGAAGTACTAGAGTCATTCGCATCTATGTTATTGCTATGTCATTTGACAGCTGACAGTTCTAGCTTCATTCTAAAAAAAAATTGAGCAATTTGGTTGAGTTTTGGAGATTTTACAAGTTGAAGATGGAAGACCAAACTGTGTATTTTTGCCATATTTTACTGTTTTACTTCCATAAAGGGAAGAACACGCGTCAACCTTGTGAAAAGTTAAAGTTTACAGTGACAATGCTCTACAAGAATGTCAGTGCCAATGATGGTTCACGAAATTTCGTGCCGTTGATTTTGATCTCAATGACGCTCCTCGGTCAGGGAGGCCCACCGAGGTTGATGACGACAAAATAAAGGCATTGATCGAGTCAAACCTACGTTACACGACACGAGAGATTGCAGAAACATTGAACATCCATCATTCAAGCGTTTGCGACCACCTGAAGAAGCTGGGATACGTAAGCAAGCTCAATATTTGGGATCCACATGAACTCAAATAAGTTCATTTGACGGCGCGTATAAACATCTGCAATATGCTCATTAAACATGAGGAAAACGATCCTTTTTTGAAGCGACTGATAACTGGTGATGAGAAGTGAACTGTTTACAACAATGTGGTGCACAAACGGTCTTGGTCCCGACGTGATGATTCGCCTCAAACGACATCGAAAGCAGACATTCATGAGAGGAAGGTTATGCTCTCAGTGTGGTGGGATTTTAAAGGTGTCATGTTTTTCGAGCTCCTACCAACGAACCAAACAATCAATTTGAATGTGTACTGTCAGCAACTGGACAGTTTGAATGAATCCATCACCCAGAAACTTCCAGAGCTTGTTAATTGTAAAGGAGTTGTGTTCCATTGCGACAACACGAGACCACACACAAGTTTGATCACCCGTCAAAAATTATTGGAGCTTGGATGGATGTGTTGCCACACCCACCATACTCACCTAACCTTGTGCTGTCAGACTTCCACTTGTTTCGCTCTCTTCAAAACTCCTTGCGTGGTATAACGTTTAATTCAGATGAGGCTGTAAATCAGCACTTTGTTCAGTTTTTCGCAAATAGGTCCTTCTATGAACGAGGAATTACGAAGCTCACTGAAAGATGGCAAAAGGTTATCGAACAAAACGGGCAATACATCATTGATTGATCTTTGTTCTTTATATAAATAAATGACCTTTGAAAAACAGACAAAACACGTCATGACTTTTTCGAAGACCCAATATCTGTTGGTGGGTAGGAGACATATACCAGTTATTGCCAGTTATTTTCTTTCAGCTTTAAGATATTGCATTGCTGCTATTAAGGCCATCAACTATCGGTCTAAATGTCATTCCTTTGAAGGTATACATATTTTCTATCTGCCTGCTTCTAAGATCTTCTCTATCTTTAATATTCTGTAGTTTTCATTACTGTGTGTCTAAGCATAGATTTCATTTACCTTGTTTACAATTAGGTGGACTTCTCAAATTAAGCAAACAAGTTTAGGAAACTTCTCAGCCATTATCTTGCTAAATGTTACTTCTGTCCCAATCACTCTCTCCTCTTCCCAGGACTCTGATTAGTCGTATAATAAATTCTCAGACTCTCCTCCATGTCCTTTCGCTGCTCTTATTTTCCATCTCTGTGTCTCTGTGCTTCATCCTGGACCATATCTTCAAATCTGTCTCTATCAATTTAATCATCTCTTCAACTATGTATAATCTGCTGTTAAAGCTGTATAATAAATTTGTAATTGCAATCATTATATTGTTCATTTCCAAAAATATTTGTTCCCTTTTTAGACCTGCCTGGTCATTTTTAAAATCTCTTACTCTTTACTCACATATTAACCCCTTTTTTTATTTCTTTAAACACATGAAATGTCCTTATTTTCTATTGGTCTGATAATTCTTCTGATGATGAATGGTCTGATGATAGCAACCTGTTATCTCATTAATAATGTTTCCCATGCTTTTTGTGATTTTTAATTTGTGAGCTCAAGTTCTTGGCACCTTATCTGCAAGAATTTTTTAAGAACCTGGTTGAAGTTAAGAATCCTGACTACAGAAAGGATCTGTACTGTTCTCTAAATGTTTTGAATGAAGGCTTCTAAGCTGCTCGGAATCCAGCCTGTGGTGATGCATTCTCAGAGACTTTCCCTCCACTCCACTCAGCGCCAAAGGTCAAAACAGGCGATTCTCCCGCAATCCCCGTGGGGTTGGAGAACCATCAGCTCACCTTTACATTGTTCGGAAATACCTTTGGGAGGCCCCTATTAGGCTACTGGGCTGTGGTGGAACCTGGGCTTTGTTTCCTGTCCCACCCCAGGTGAGGCCACGGAAACTAAAGGTCAAGTCTGACAAATGCCCTCAGAGCAGGGATTAGCTCAGCTCTGTTAACCGCTCTGGCATCCCACTTTCACTCTGCTTTTGTGCTCCGGGTACAATTACTTTTTTTCTAGCTCAAGAGGAACGTTCTGGCTGTTTTCAGTAAGTAGAGTTGGCCTGGAATCTCTCCCATCATACCTTTGGCTCCCAATTCATGGCTGCAGGGTGGACTGTGGGGAAATATGCAGGAGGCTATGAAGTTCTTCAAAGAGAAGTTGACGGATGGCTCAAAACCAGGTGGTAACGGTCAATGGTGGTCAGATTCTGGATGTAATTTAAAATAAAGCCTTCGAGATTTCCCATCAGACTGGATGTGGGTATGAGAGGGGAAGGAGACGAGACTCACTCCAAGGCTTTTAAAGGCCTGAGAAATTAGAAAAAAACAGAGTTGCTATGAACTGAGGTTAGAAAGGCCACAGGCAGAGGTGAGTGTAGGGAAGACCAGGAATTTCATCTGAATACATTGAGTCTGACCGTCTACTAGACATCCACATGGAGATGTGAAGTAGATGGCTGGAAATACGAGTGTGGAGTTCAGGAAGGAGGTCTGGGCTGGAGACACAAATTTGGTACAAATGATCAATGTTTCATTTTAGACAAACCACGTAAGTGTGAGACGGGATACAAATGCCTATGTCCTATTCAGTCCTGTAAACGCGGGTAGGAATGGCCCACTCCTGTTCAAGTGGCACCGTAACACTGGTTTGCATTAATGGTCATACAACATGTGGTCATCATGCCATCACACTATGTCCTCATAGGCTATTTGCTGGAGTTCTTTGCCAGTTCTGCGGTTTAAGAGGAACGTGAAGAATGTGGGGAACGCCTGGGGAAAGCCAGCCGCATAGCTGCATAAAGGGAAGGAAAATGATACCCAGCAGAGGTTACAGGAAATGAGATGGTTTGGTCAGGGATGAATAACAGCAGCTGGTCCTGTGACTCGGGATCAGAGAAGTCCGGATATGTGAAAGCAATTTGCCACCTTTAGGTCAAATGAAATAAGAGGAAATGAGCTTTCACTCTGGCATGGAAGACTTAGTTTGGAAACAAAAGGGGACGAATACCGACTTAATACCCACTATATTAGATGCCGGCCCAGGTACTGCAGCATTTTAATAAACATTAAGGCCCTTGTGATAGAAATGGCCATTTATATACAGATCAGAGAAGAGGGATCCTGAAAGGTTAGCTCAGTTCCCCAGGAGAAGAGCTGCAATTTCAATCTGGTCTAATAAAGGCAAAGCTTTGACATTCTCTCATAGCCCTAGGCAGTTGTTATAACCTAGAATTCTGAACACAGTCACACCACCAGCACCAAGCACCATGAAACACATATTATTTTTCAGGGAACTGGTTTTGTTCCTATTTTCCTATTCTATAGTAAAATACATATTCACCTTCCTAAAATATACATCAAATTCTGTAACAGATTCCCATTTATAAGGTAATTCCACACATAATCCAGGGGTCAAACATCCTGGGCTGGATAGGCCTTGTTTTTGGTTGACTGTGGTAACAAGTAACTAAAGATACCAGGTGAGGGACCGGCCGAGTGGCTCAGTTGGTTAAGAGCTTGCTCAAGAGTTTAAGCTCTGAGTAACAGCGGTTCAATGCCCGGCCCGAGGTGAGCAGCCGCTGAGCTGCCAACAGGTGGCAGGATGGCTCAGCTTAAAAAAAAAAAGGGAAGATACCAGGTGAGATGACCTACAAAAGCTGTATCAGCCGCTGAGCTGCCGTTGAGCTGCCAAGGATGGCTCAGCTAAAAAAAAACACAAACCTGTATCAGGGTTTGAGCTGTGCTCACTGTGTCCAAAGAGCTGTAACTGTCCTCATGGACCAGACAGCCTGGTGCCCAGTGGCAAAGGTGTCCTGAGTCCACTTCACCCGCAACCGACTGTCCAAGACCCGGGTCTGAGCAGGAACAAATGTCTGCCAAAGAGCAAGCTCTCCAGTGGGCGTCAGAACGGGCACTCTTGGGGGTGCTTGCTACCTGCCTAAGGAGCTGCCTGAATCACAATGAAACTCATAACAACTTCCACTCAGCCCATGAAAATTTCCAGCGCGCGAGCTAGACAGACAAGAGAACATTTACCTAAGGCCCTCTTTCTAAGAGAAAGCAACCATCTGACAGAAGGCGAGCTAGCAGAAACGGGAAGGGTTACAGGTTCAGGACCTCTTCCCAGAGGCCCAGGCAAGCAGCACCTAAAGGCAGGTACTCCGGATAAGGCTCCCATCCCTGAGGTGCTTCCTGCAGAGAGGCAACCCAGCGAGTGGCCAGATGGGCTCTGGAGCCCGTGTCAGGGTTTCCACCTAGAGTCATCTAACCTTAAGCAAGTGACTCCACCTCTCTGTGCCTCAGTTTCTTCATCTATAAAACAGAAATCATAATATTTACTTTATAACGGTATTTAGAACAATAAATCTGTGAATACATGTAAAGCACTTAAAACTGACATTCATAAAGTAGTATCGGGGGTGGGCAAGGGGAAAGGGGAAGGGGATTAAGAAGTAGGACATTCCGGTTATAGAGTAAGTCACAGGGGTGTAAGGTACAGCCCAGAGACACGGTCAGCAACATCATAGTGACTATGCACAGTGGCAGGTGGGCCCTAGACTTATTGGGGTGATCACTTTGTAAGGTATTTAAATGTCTAATCACTGTTGTACACCTGAAACTAATACTGCATGTCAATTATAATGAAAAATAAATTGATTTATTTAAACAAGGAAAAAAAAGTCTTGGGCATTCTTATTTAATTATTCTCTCCCTCTTAGCAGCCCTGCACCCTCCAGCTGGCATCGTCTGCTTGCACGTGGCCCATGACAATCAGCCTGGAGAGTTGCCTTGTAGGTCAAGTCCAGGACCCACTTCTGATGCTATGGGTCTTAGTTCATATTCTCAAGAGAAATAAGCTATTTGGTCAAGCATTCAACCCTGGTGGGTGGGATGATCATGTAAACCCAGCCCCCTCAGCCTGCCCTTAATGATGGCAGACCTAAGGTTTCAGCCTCCCTAACAAGTCAGCATGCTACAGTTTCATGAATGCTGGCACAAGTCATGAGGCTTCTCAGTCTGAGACAAAAACCTGATAACTTAACAGCAACAGCCACATCCAGAGTGGGCCTCTGTGTCGCTTCAGTGAGGCCCAATGCCACAGGACTGTGCACATGCTATGGTTTGCATTACAGAAGAGGAGCCCCAAGCTCAGGGAGCCTGAATCTTTCATAATGGGTGGCACACATGCCCAACCTTGGCCCTGGAGGGAAGCAGCATCCTTATTGCGTGGGTGTACAGAACCCCTCTGCTCTGCAGAGATGGCTCTCTGTCGTCTAAGAGAGCCGTGAGCAAAGGTCAGGCCCTCTGCTCTCAAGCTGCAAAGACACAGGAGACCCACCTCCCAAAACATCCAAAAAACAGACATATAGGGCCAGCCGAGTGGCGTTGGTTAAGAGCTGGCTTGGGATGCCAGCTTTGAGTAGCACAGCCCCGATTCGGATCCCACATGAGGGCCAGTGACACTGCCCTCTACAGCTAAGATGGTGAACAACAGCTCGACCTGGAGCTGGGCTGCCATGAGTCGCCAGCGTAGGCTGCAGTGAAGCTGCCGTAAGCTACCATGAGTGGCTGGCAGCCGGCGTGAGCTGCTGTGAGTGGCCGTCCAATGGCCGGCGAGTGATCTGCCTCACCGGGGAAGAGCACAATGATAATACCAACATGGGCAAGTGAAGCGGTGTCCTCCACAACTGGACTAAAGAACAAAAGGACAGCAACTTGTCTGTTCCCCTTCCCCGATTCCCCAATAAAATCTTAAAAAAAAATAGACATATACTGTGTTCACAGATTGGAAGAGTCAATGTTGCTAAAATGTCAACTCTCCCCAAAATGAACTGTCGATTCAACACAATCCCAAATCAAAATCCCAGCAGGATTTTGTTTTGGTAAAAAGTGACAAGGTGATTCTCAAATTCACATGGAATTGCAAACTACTTAGAAGAGAAAGAAATAAATAGTAAGGATAGCTTTTATTTCAAAGGAAACAAAAAGAATACACATATACAGTATATGTAAAAACACAGAGACATCACTTATATACCATATATTATATATATATAATATACATGGTGTGTAGGTGTGTGTGTGTTTATATACAAAACCCCCAGAGTTACAGCATCTGTCAGGCTCCCTTGCCCCCACGCTCCTTTCCACTGGGACGTCTCCCTCCCTGATACTCAGAACCACAGGCAACACCTATCCCGGGTACTGTTCTCAGAGAACAGGGCTGCTCAGTGACATCTACCAGCTGTCTCATAATTTTTCTGTGTGGCAGAATCGTAACTAAACTGGAAGCAACACTTAAGAAACAGAACTAGAAACAATTTAGCATACCACTGCGTTCTCTATCGAACTCTTTTTTTTGAAGAAATGGTAACAGCTTGGGCCAATGGATGCTAAGTCCTGATACGGGCACCCTCCCTCGGCCTCAGAGAAGCAGGCCGTAGCTGGACAAGGGGAGAGGGGGCTGTGGGGACTTACCGCTCAGGAGCCACCACAGCAGCGGGAGGAAGTTGGGGTTATCGCTGATGTACTCCAAGCCTTTGAAGTTGATGCTCACGTTGAACAGTGCCATCAGCATCAGCCTGGATCACAAGAGAAGGCGTGTCAGCGAGCAGCCACCATGCTCCACCCCGACCAAGACCGCACACACACACGGAGGGGTCCTTCATTTCGGGGCCACGTCTACAGTCTGCACGACAGGGACAATAGGGGGCAGGTGACATGGCACTTGTCTCTGTGAGGCTACGGGGCAACAGGAAACGTCAGCAATAGTGCCACACGACACCACCCTGCACAGGCTCACATCATCAAGTCACAAACACAGAGAGGAAACCTCCCGACCGTATTTACGGAGTCACTCTTTTATGACTAACCTGACACTGATGTACAGGAAACCCTCAATTCACAAGTACACTGCACTCTGAAACTCCAGTTCAGCTGTTTAAAATTTCATCCTGTCTTCTCATTCCATAAACGTTATCCATGACGTGTGGGCAGACGGTCAGGCCACACAGGCTGGTTTAGTCCACAGCATGAGGGATGGAGAACGCCACACCCCCAACCACCCCTAACAACCAACAACACAGGGTGCGGCATGAAACAGGATTTTACAGGCGGTCTTGGGAACTGAGCAAACTGGTACTATAGAGTCTAATGGAAATTGGGAAAACGTAGAACTGCTTTGTGACAATCCCACAGAATACCAAGAGCCCCAAAACTTCACATTGCAAAGCAATAAAAAAGACTACACAAATAGTTCAGAAGCCCTTAAAAGAATGGATGAGCTTTCAAAAAATGAAGGGAAAACATCTCTGATCAAGAACTACGTGGAGGGCCGGCCGAGTGGCGCGATGGTTAAGAACTCGCTTGGGATGCCAGAGGGTCCCGGTTCGGATCCCACATATGAGGGCCATATGAGGGCCAGTGACACTGCCCTCCACAGCTAAGATGCTGAACAACAGCTCAACCTGGAGCTGGGCTGCCATGAGTGGCCGGCGATGGCGTAGGCTGCAGTCCCTGTGGCAGTGGGTTGCCATGGGCTACCGTATGTAGCCAGCAGCCAGCGTGAGCAGCCAGCAGCCACAGTGAGCGGCTGTCCAGAAGCCAGCGACTGATCTGCCTCGCCCGGAAAGAGCGCAATGATGGTGCCAACTTGGGCCAGTGAAGCAACGTCCTCCACAACTAGACTGAAGAACAAAACGACAGCAACTTTTCTGTTCCCCTTCCCCGATTCCCCAATAAAATCTTAAAAAAAAAAAAAGAACTACGTGGAAGTACGAATTCAGGGAGGTAAATACTACAGGTGATTATCTTCCAGAAGCACCGAGCTAAAGTCTTAGTGACTTCATGCAGACACGCAGAAGGAAAAGGCTCAGACCAACACAAGGCTGATTCAGATCACAGGCTCCTGCAGAAAGCCAGGAAAAAAGGGAACTTTCAAGCTTGGCATAAGCCCACACTTTCTATATGGTCTGAAGATCCACAAGCCAGTAATTTTAACACAAAGTAGAGCAGGGGTAGGAGGTCCTACAGCTGCCTGACCAAAGTAAACTAACGTTCTCTTAAAGGAAAGGACCCTCAATCTGGTCTTCAAAGAATTCCCATAAACACAAAACTAACAAGTGTGATTCATAACAAAAATCACAAAACACATGAAAAACGACATTATAAGTAACAGCACAAAGGACCAATCAGAGTCAGAATTAAAAAAAAAAATACAAGTATCAATTTCAGAATTAAAAATGGGTATGTTTAATAGGTATAAATAATTCATAAAGAAATTAAATCAAGGATCTACTATTATAAATGACCAGGCATTTCGAAAGAGAGCCTGGTAGAACTTACAAAAATGAAAACTATAATAATCAAACTGTAAAACTCAGGGGCAATTGATACGTGGGAACGGAGAAACACCACACAGGAAACAGAGCTAAAGAAATGGCAGCAAACAGAGCGAAGCGAGGAAGAAGGAGGCCACCCAGCAAGGCTGACAGCAAAACAAAGAAAGCACTAAATTGAGCGAAACCCACCATGGCGCTGGGGGCTCGGAGCGACTGCCACTAGGAGGCCAGTGGCCAGAGAGCTGGCACAGCTCAGAATGAGGCACAGGTCTGGTTGTTGGCCATCTTGGGGGAGACAGAGTTGAGGGGTTGGGTAAAGCCAGGGACCCGTGAGGACAAACATCTGCTCTCTCCAGGAACAGACCGGAGTCCAGAGCCCACGTCTCCTCTGCTACGTCCAGCAAACGATTGGATATTTAACTGTGGGAGGAGAGTAAGGCACTTTCCTGGGGTGCAAATTTAAGAGGTGCCAAATGCTCAGTAACCAAGATTTTAAAACATATTGCAATGCAAAATTTTATAATTTAAAACTACTGCAAAAATTCCATAACAAGCAATGTATCAACATTTTAAATAAAGATCAGACAGGATCTTTATTTAAAATGTTGCCAAGACATAAAGAAGCCTGAGGCCAGTACTGGAGATTCAGTCCATTCAAAAGAGACTGAGTATGACGCATGCACTATGGAAAAGGTTTACTGTATTTTCCATTAAAATAGCTGGCTCCCTACTAAACATCGTTTGTGCGATCAAGCCCCATGGCTTGCTGGTCTTTAGAGGCACGGGTGGGCCCATCCTGGGACACAGTGTAAACATGGAAAATGAGTGGACTCCCAGCGGTTGAGAGCCACAGCAGGGCAAGCACGCGGAGACAGCCCTCGTGCTTCTGGGAACTTTTGCAAAGTCGAGGCAGCACTAGAGACACGCAGACACCAGCACAGCACCTCAGGGGCGGTGCCCAGTTCTCACATTGTGAAGCTTGCTGTAACCCCTCTCCCCCACCACTGGCCACAACATGGGCCCTAACTGCCAATCCTTTCAAGTGTGCCTGACAATTTTTACACACATCCAGAATCTATTCACTGGCAACCTGTTTCACGAGTTATTAAAGGACTATTCAAATGTTGCATTCATGAGGAAAATTCAGCTCCTTAACTAGAATTTTCTGAGGTCTCTAATCCAGTGTCCGAAAATGAGAAAAGTTCCTTCTTTAGATCACCGACACAGACAGCTGGGACTCCTTCCAGTTAAACATCTAGTCCATGCTGCTTTCACACTACAACAGCAGGACTGGGCCACTGCCCCAGATCCGAGGGCCACAGAGCCTAAAGCATTCTCTATCTGGCCCTGCACAGAAAAAGTCTGCTAACCCCTGCTTTAGAGCATGAAAATAAGAGAAGCTAATTTTTTCTAGATCTTTACAGGCAAAGTTAACATCTGGGTAATAACTATAATATGGGGCAAATTCCAGAAAATGTGTCCATTTGAAATTCTCCAATGACTACATTTAATTTTAAGGTGTCACAAATGACTCACAAATTGAGAAATATCTTTAAAATTCTGTATTTGGTCAAAATCAGCCTGCCTTAAGAAGCTAAGATGGTGGGCCGGCCGAGTGGCTCAGTTGGTTAAGAGCTCGCTCAAGAGTGTGAGCTCTGAGCAACAGCTGTTCGAGTCCCAGCCCGAGCTGAGCTGCCGCTGAGCTGCCAACAGGTAGCAGGATGGCTCAGCTAAAAAAAAAAAAAAAAGCAGCTAAGATGGAATAAATGTAATTGTGATGCCTGTGGTATCACATGAGACCGCATGTCATTGCCAAGCTATGTCTCCCAGAAGACCAGACTTCTCCAAGGTCACACGAGGGTTTAGCAAACAACAAACCCGAATGAGTTTCCTATGCAAATGTTTTCTGTTCCAACACTTCTATTCCAACCAAAAGTATTTTGTAAATAATAACATCAAGTTTCCAACGGTCAAGTCCAAAGACACTGCCCATCCAATTCACCCTTCTCATACTGAGATACTTAAAGCAATGTCATCTGCAAAGTACTGACGTCCTGGAGGAGTCACTTCCCTTCCAGTGACAGGAAGCGGGCAAGTCATGCTGCCCACCCTGAGCCTAAGTGAGAGATTCCTTACAAACAGTCCGATGGGCTCAAAAGAGCAACTTCCCAGGCTCTGCAGTTGAGAATTTGAGACACATCCGACACTGACCATAAAAGGACTGAAGACAGGGCTAAACTGAAGGTTCTGGTGAACTTGAAATGCTACAAAGGCAACTCAAGTACCTCTCCTTCAGTGAAGGATGCTCCCTTCACCTAGATGGACCGGGCCTGGGGCGGAACCGTCGCCTGGACGGA